AAACTCAAATGGTGAAGCCCTAAGCCTCATACCTCAGATTGCGGCTGTACTTAGAGATAGAGCCTTGGGGGCAAGGCTACTGCCCAGGCTACAAGAGCAATGCTACCTTCCAGGGCTCCAAGGTGATGCAGCTGCCCCAGTGGACCCAGAAGGCAGGGCCACCACCCTGGCAGGACCAGAGGACAGAGCAAGGAGGATTATTCTTGAACCTTAAAATCAAATTGAATTTGCCCTGGTAGGTTGAGAACTTGCTTGGGACCTGTGACCCCTTTCTTCTTTCAGATTTTTCCCTTTTAGAGCGGGAATGTCTATCCTTTGTCTGTCCCAACATAGTATTTAGTGAGTAGATAACTTACGTGATTTCCTAGGTTCACAGCTGGAGAGGAATTTTTGCCTCAAGATGACTCATACCTTGAATGTCACCCGTACTTTAGATGAAATCTGGGACATATGGGTGATGCTAGAATGGGTTAAGACTTTTGCGTTGTTGGGATAATGGTGAGGGTATTTTGCATATGAGAAACACATGAATCTTGGAGGTCCAGAGGGCAGAGTGTTATGGACTGAATTATGTTCCACTAAAATTGATGTGTTCACGTCCTAACCCCCATAACCTCAGCATGTGACTGTATTTGGAGAAAGGGCCTTTAAAGAGGTAATTAAGTTAAAATGAAGCCATTCGGGTGGGCCCTAATCCAACCTGACTGGTGTCCTTATAAGAAGAGATTAGGACGTACAAAGAGACACTAGGGATGAGTGCACACAGAGAAAAGGCCTTGTGAGGACACAGTGAGAGTGCAGCTATACGCAAGCCAAGGAGAGGGACTTCAGGAGAAACCAAACTTGCCCACACTTTGATCTTGGACTTCTAAACTCCAGAACTGTGAGAAAGTAAATTTCTGTTGTTTAAGTCACCCAGTCATGATATTTTGTTATGGCAGTTCTAGCAAACTAATACACATGGGTTCAACAACATCATCTTCCTCTCACCAGGTTGAAGCTGTGGCTACTACCACAGACAACCGTAGAAGCCAGTGATGAGCCCGAATATGGCACCATTCCCTGGGAAATCAGCCAAGCCTGCGGCAAATTGATTACATCGAATCTCTTCCATCACAGAGATGGAATGACTTGTTCTCTTAGGGACAGACATATATTTCTGGTATAGTTTTACCTGCCCTGCCAAAACTGCTTCTGCCCGTTTGTATGTATGGTATCCGCACACAGACTTCAACTAGAGGATTCACTTTACAGCACTAGATTTGTGACAGTGTGCTCATATCCATAATATTCGTCTGTCTGAATATATGTCCCATCATCCAGAAGGTGCTTGCTGGGAGAGGACACCCTGTGAGGTTGAGACACCATCCTATGGGTACATACCTTAAACCAGTAACTAGTAAATGTTTCTGTGAAGGGAAGAGTTAACAGCAGACCTGTGATGCATTTCCTCCCTACCAGGGACGTTAACCATCTTGCCTTGTAAACATGCTAATATCATTTACAAGTGGAAATATATAGGAATTCACTATCTAAAAATGGCTTTCTAGCAGAATATACCTTGTCTGTCTAGATGTCTTATTGTAAATAAATCCGGAATTTATGTGTTGGTGGACATGACTGGTTGGGTAATGAGATTCAGTCATGCAGACCTTTCTATCTACCAAATGGCTTTCTCTGAGAACACACTGTTAGGTGCTCAGCTGTTACTCCAAAACCAAAATGCATCTCAGTGTGAGAGAAAGGGAAAATTAGGAATATGTGTCTGACAGATTTAGCTCCTCTAGAAACAAATGTTATATTTGTGTCTATATCCTGCACCTATCAATTGAATCATTGGTAAAGTTTGGTGTTGATAAGATCTGTGATTCATGCGAGTCTGTTTTGACAATCCAACTATTTATGGTAATTCAAGTCCATCTATTCTACAACTACGATGAGTAAATCTGGGAGCGAAAGGGTTAAAGTGGAGTGACCCTCTCACTATTTCACCTAAGGACCCGATGAAGAAGTTTTTGCTTCCTACCTGAAATTCTTGGGCTCAGTGGATTTGGATGTCCTAGCACCCGGGAGATGAAAGTGTCTCCCAGGGAACAGAGTCAAGGTTCTGGCAAATTGGAAGCTGAGACTTCCCCCTGACCACCTTGAGTTCCTCATGCCACTGAACCACCAGGTAGAGAAGTTGCTCACTCTACTGACCAGATCGATTGATCCTGATTACTAGGGGAAAATCAGAAGTGGAAGCAAGGAAGACTACGTCTAGAACCCAGGAGACTCAGGGGTGCCTTTCAGTACTGCCATGCCCAATAATAATGGTCAATAGGAAATGTGTCAACTTGATAAAGATAGAACCACTAAAGGTTGGGTCACTCCACCAGGTAAACGACTTAGTCTTAAAACGAGGTGCTGGCAGAGGCAAAGGGATTATGGAACAGGTAGTAGAAGAAAGAAGATAGGATTATCAACTTAGCTTTGTAACTAAATAGGCACTGGAGAAATTAGTAAATATGTTTTATGTTAATGATTTCCCTCCCTTCTTTGTTCTCTCCGGACAGTTTATATAAAAAGCTCTGGGAATGGCTCATGTTTTTTGTTTCAATTTGGGAGTGTGACTGAATTGACATCATCCCACGATGATATGGTGGTTGATGGGACTGTGTATGTCTCTGGTGTTGAGAAACAAATTTCTCATTTTATCCAAGGACAGAACGCATGGTAAGGAGTAAAAGGATAGAATGTGCTGTGTAGTTTCTCTTTGCCCCATGGGTCAGCTCCCTGTCCTTTTCCACCCTATTCTGTGTCCATGAGATTTGATCATTACGGACTACACCAACAGGCTTCCTTGCCCTTAGTTTGTGTATTAGTTTTGTATTGCTGCCATAACAAACTACCAAAAGTTTAGTGGCTTAAAACAACAAAAAATTGTTATCTTATAGTCCTGAAGTTCCGAAGTCTGAAATGAGTTTCACTGGGCTAAAATCAAGGTGTTGGTTCACTTGTAAGAACTTTAAAGATTACATTGGGCCCACCCTGGTATTCCCCATCTCAAGACTCCTCGTCATACCTGCAAAGTCCCTTGCTATGTAAAGTAACATCTTCACAGGTTCCAGGGACTAGAACATGGACAACCTAGAGTGTCAATATTCTGCCTATCATAGTTTCCAATTGGATTCGGCCAATGGGGGGCAGCGATGAGATTAGAAAGCATGAAGAGAGCAAATGTGAAGTGTTTCCTCTGGCTCCCTCCCTTCTGGTTGCTGCCTCCCTTTCTGAAGGCCATGGCTCCTGTAAGGCAGCCTCTCTTCCAGCTCGAGCTGCTTATTCTCTCTGAGTTCTAGTAACTTCTCCCTCTCCTTGACCTTTCAGGCCCAAGGGTGGTGACATCTCCAGGCTCTTGCTAGCCCTGAGAAGTTTCTCCATCCTTTCTTGGTTTCTCTTCACCCTGCCCACACCATTATGAATAGTGCCTTTTTGCTCCTCAGTTACTCTGCTGTTTTAGAAGGAACTTGACAGAGAACAGAGAACATTGCCAGCATGTTGAAATGGTGAAAGAATTGTGTGAACATTATGGTGATGATGCTAGTGTTGATTATCTCCTTCTAGATAAAAAATTGTTTTCTCTTCGTGTGCATAAGCCTTAGTCTAGGTTCTGTATATCTCCCTATAAAATATCTAATTTGGCTTCCCTGTTTTTGGCACCACTTTCTGTAGTCAACTCTACTAACTGTTCAAAAGTCATCCTGTATTTAAATATTTCGATCATTCCGCTGCCTCTTTAAAAAACTGGGCATGCCACTTTCTTCTTCACCAATATGAAATGATTTTCTATCATTTGTAAAACTACCTGTCATTATTCCCTACATCCTTCCTACTGCCCGTTGGTTGAAAGCGTTTATAATGAGCAGGTTTCTTTCCCAATGCCTTATCTGCCATGAGCAGTCCTCTTCCCTCCCATCTAACTCCACCCTCTGAGTCTTCTTTCACACTAAGACCTAAAGACTGATAATTATCATTTCTCTACAGGGAGCTTATTTTAACAGGAGATTAATGCTTCAACTGAAACTGGGGTTTTGGGGAAGAATTTCAGGCATAAAACATCTATGAAGAAGGACATCTTTAATGCAGCTTCACTTTGTGTTTCAACCTATGGCCAAACTACCAATCCAGGTCCCACACCTAAATGAAATATTAGATGTTTAAAAAGATGTATTGATTTGGTGCTTAACTGTACCCATAAGAGAAAAGCAAATCAAACTTAAAATGATATAAAAATTTTCACCTGTTGGTTTGGAAAATGTGATGTGAGTATATAGAGAAACAGGCACCTTCCCACATAGGTGATGGGAGTATACGTTTATAATTTCTATAGGGAAAGAATTGGCAATAGGAGCTGGCCCTGTGGCCGAGTGGTTAAGTTCGTGCCCTCTGCTTAGGCGGCCCAGGGTTTCGCTGGTTTGAATCCTGGGTGGGGACATGGCACCGTTCATCAAGCCATGCTGAAGTGGCAACCCACATGCCACAACTAGAAGAACTCACAACTAAAAATACACAACTATGTACCAGGGGGCTTTGGGAGAAAAAGGAAAAATAAAATCTTAAAAAAAAAAATTGGCAATAGCTCCTAAAATTCAAAATGCACATATTCTTTGACCCAGAAATTCCGCTTCTCAGAATTTACCCTAAAGATGTGCTCCCAATTGTGCTAGCTGATCTGTTAATAAGGATCTTTATTGCAGCATTATTTGTTATAGCAAAAAGAATGGAAACAGTCTAAATAGTCTTCAATAGGAGAATGGGTAAGTAAATTATGATACCTATACACAATGGAATACAATGCAGCTGTTAAAAAGAGTGAAGGACCATTATACGTATTAAGTTGGATATATCTTACATATGATGTGGCTGTGAATGAGGAAACTTTGGGTGACATCCAAAATTCACATAATGGGATAACACAAAGAATTAGATTGTCAAATCAAACTCACCAAACAGACACTTACCTAGTATCAAGCTTTACTATAATTTCAAGGTTCAAGTAATCATGAGGCACAGGTGAAGCAGGGAGAGATTTAGGACCATCAACACAGCTCTGGTCAAGATTCACATGTCAGGTTTCTAAGCAAGATGTGCAGGTCCCATGAAAAAGAGCCATTTTAGTCGTGGAACATCCATTTATACTCAGATAGTTGTACAGCTTACATGACATTTTCCAGGAAGCCTTTCCCTACCAATTCATAGATTCCAGGTTTGGTTAGCATAAGCAACCCTAAACAACCAGATACATTCTGCTAAAAGCATTCCATAGGTAAGGATTCTTCAGCTGGCAAGTGCCATTAGCTCCTTTGTCAGGAGTTCTATTTATTAGAACGGTCACAAGAAAATTGGACCAGAGTGCCTCCATTCTTTCTTTCCCAGAAGTGTTTCCCAGTAACACAAGAGAGTTAATTGCAGATTGACCGCGCAATAATCCTTTCTTTCCCGTATATCATTTTAAACATGAATAAAAATTGGTTGATTCTGAAACTATGAAAATGATGTAGGCTTAAGTTAAAAAGTCTTTAAAATTCAACAAAAAAGACATTAATATGTCTTAGGATACAATCAAATTTAGAGGTCTTTAAAATTAGAAGGAAATACATTGAATATATTTTAAAATATACATGGTAGTGTTATAATGCAATCCAAATTTAAAGGAAACTATAAACTAGTCTGCACATCCAGGAAGTCTTCTGTTCCTTCACCCTCCAAAGTCTATCAAACAACTTTTCTTTCAGTATATTTGTAGATCTCTTCTGAAATTTTGCTTTTCCCCCCCAATACATCCTTGATCAAAGGAGCATATTTCAATACTAAGTTGAACCATACAAAATTCCTGGTTCTTGATTTGTTGGCCTACAAAAACAACAATTTTGTGTAGTTAAACCTAGTACCACAGGGACACTACCTGATTTGATCTCTAAATGTAAGTCAGACAAAATATGTAAAGAGCCACATGGATAGGAAATATCAGAATGAAACAATAAGGCAAGATTGTGGAGAAGAAAAAGCCCTGGTTCAAGTTAGGAGACCTCAGACTCTAGTTTCTCCTTCACCTCTTACTAACAATAGGTATTTGAGTAAGTCTATTTATCTCTCTTAATTCCAATTCCCTTGCCTCTCAAATGAGAGTCTGAATGTAGACAATTAAACCACAGTGAACCATCACTTCACACCCACTAGGATAGCTTTTACCATAGGAAAGAAAACAGAAAATAACCAGCGTTTACAAGGTTGGGGAGAAACTGGGACCCTGCGCATTGCCGGTGGGAATGTAAAGTAATGCAGTGCTGAGGGAACGGTGGAGAGGTTCCTCAGAAAGCTAAACAGAATTACCACACGATCCGGCACTTCCGCTCCTGGGTATACACTCAAGAGAATTGAAAGCAGGGACTCAAACAGGTATTTATACACCAGTGTTCATAGAAGCATGATCGACATTGGCCAAAAGGTGAAAACAACACACATACCTATCAATAGATGAATAGATACAGAAAAGGTGGTATAATTCTCAAGGATTGACCATATTTTGGGAACCAAAGCAAACATCAATAAATACAAGAGAGTTGAAATAATATCAAGCATCTTTTCTGATCATAACGCTATTAAACTAGAAATCAACTACAAGAAAAAAGCAGAGAAAGGTGCAAAAATGTGGAGACTAAACAACACGCTTCTCAACAAACAATGGATCATTGAAGAAATTAAAGAAGAAATCAAATATTATCTGGAGACAAATGAAAATGAGAACACGACATACCAAATCATTTGGGATGCAGCAAAAGCAGTCCTAAGAGGGAAATTCATCGCAATACAGGCTCACCTCACTAAACAAGAAAAAGCTCACGTAAGCAACCTCAAACGACACCTAACAGAACTAGAAAAAGAAGAACAAACAAAGCCCAGAGTCAGTAAAAGGAGGGAAATAATAAAAATAAGAGCAGAAATAAACGATATTGAAACAAAAAAGACAATAGAAAGGATCAATGAAACAAAGAGTTGGTTCTTCAAAAGAATTAACAAAATTGACAAACCCCTAGCCAGACTCACCAAGAAAAGAAGAGAGAAATCGCAAATTAATAAAATCAGGAATGACAGAGGAGAAATCACAACAGATACCAATGAAATACAAGAGATCATAAGAGAATACTATGAAAAACTATATGCCAACAAATTGAACAACCTGGAAGAAATGGACAAATTCCTAGACTCCTACAATCTCCCCAAACTGAATCAGGAAGAAATGGAGAATCTGAATAGACCAATCACAAGTAAGGAAATAGAAATGGTAATCAAAAACCTCCCCAAAAATAAGAGTCCAGGACCAGACGGCTTCTCTGGAGAATTCTACCAAACATTCAAAGAAGACTTAATACCTATTTTCCTCAAACTGTTCCAGAAAATTGAGAAAGATGGAGAACTCCCTAACACATTCTATGAAGCCAACATCACCCTGATCCCCAAATCTGACAAGGACAACACAAAGAAGGAGAACTACAGGCCAATATCACTGATGAACATAGATGCAAAAATCCTCAACAAAATTTTGGCAAACCGATTACAGCAATACATCAAAAAGATTATACACCGTGATCAAGTGGGATTTATACCAGGGACACAGGGATGGTTCAACATCCGCAAGTCAATCAACGTGATACACTACATCAACAAAATGAAAAACAAAAACCACATGATCATCTCTATAGATGCAGAGAAAGCATTCGACAAGATCCAACACCCATTTATGATAAAAACCCTCAGTAAAATGGGTATAGAAGGAAAGTACCTCAACATAATAAAGGCCATATATGATAGACCCACAGCCAACATCATACTCAATGGACAAAAACTGAAAGCCATCCCTCTGAGGACAGGAACAAGACAAGGGTGCCCACTTTCACCACTCCTATTCAACATAGTACTGGAGGTGCTGGCCAGAGCAATTCGGCAGGAAAAAGAAATAAAAGGAATCCAAATAGGTAACGAAGAAGTAAAACTCTCGTTGTTTGCAGACGACATGATCTTATACATAGAAAACCCCAAAGAATCCACAGAAAAACTATTAGAAATAATCAACAACTACAGCAAAGTAGCAGGGTATAAAATTAACGTGCATAAATCAGTAGCATTTCTATACACTAACAATAAACTAACAGAAAAAGAACTCAAGAACTCTATCCCATTCACAATCGCAACGAAAAGAATAAAATACCTTGGGATAAACTTAACCAAGGAAGTGAAGGATCTATACAATGAAAACTACAAGACTTTCTTGAAAGAAATAGGCGATGACATAAAGAGATGGAAAAACATTCGTTGTACATGGATTGGAAGAATAAACATAGTTAAAATGTCCATACTACCTAAAGCAATATACAGATTCAATGCTATCCCAATCAGAATCCCAAGAACATTCTTCACAGAAATTGAACAAACAATCCTAAAATGCATATGGGGGAACAAAAGACCGCGAATTGCTAAAGCAATCCTGAGCAAGAAAAACAAAGCCGGCGGAATCACAATCCCCAATTTCAAAACATACTACAAAGCAACAGTGATCAAAACAGCATGGTACTGGTACAAAAACAGGTCCACAGATCAATGGAACAGAATTGAAAGCCCAGAGATAAAACCACACATCTACGGACAGGTAATCTTCGACAAAGGAGCAGAGGGCCTACAATGGAGAAAAGAAAGTCTCTTCAACAAATGGTGCTGGGAAAACTGGACAGCCACATGCAAAAGATTGAAAATTGACCATTCTTTTTCACCACACACCAAAATAAACTCAAAATGGATCAAAGACCTAAAGATTAGGCCTGAGACAATAAGTCTTTTGGAAGAGAATATAGGCAGTACACTCTTTGACATCAGTTTCAAAAGAATCTTTTCAGACACTGTAACTCCTCAGTTGAGGGAAACAATAGAAAGAATAAACAAATGGGACTTCATCAGACTAAAGAGCTTCTTCAAGGCAAGGGAAAACAGAATTGAAACAAAAAAACAGCTCACTAATTGGGAAAAAATATTTACAAGCCACTTATCCGACAAAGGGTTAATCTCCATAATATACAAAGACCTCACACTGCTTAACAACAAAAAAACAAACAACCCGATCAAAAAATGGGCAGAGGACATGAACAGACATTTCTCAAAAGAAGATATGAATATGGCCAATAGACACATGAAAAGATGTTCATCATCGCTAATCATCAGGGAAATGCAAATCAAAACTACACTAAGATATCACCTTACCCCTGTTAGATTGGCAAAAACATCCAAAACCAAGAACGACAAATGTTGGAGAGGTTGTGGAGAAAGAGGAACCCTCATACACTGTTGGTGGGAATGCAAACTGGTACAGCCACTATGGAAAACAGTATGGAGATTTCTCAAAAAGTTAAAAATAGAAATACCCTATGACCCAGCCATCCCATTACTGGGTATCTATCCTAAGAACCTGATAACAGATATCTCAAGAGTCCGTTGCACCCCTATGTTCATCGCAGCATTATTTACAATAGCCAAGACGTGGAACCAGCCTACATGCCCAGAAACTGATGACTGGATAAAGAAGATGTGGTATATATACACAATGGAATACTACTCAGCCATAAAAAAAGACGAAATTGGGCCCATTCACAACAACGTGGATGGACCTCGAGGGTATTAATGTTAAGTGGAAATAAGCCAGTCAGAGAAAAGACGGAACTCTATATGACTCCACTCATAGGTGGAAATTTAGTATATTGAGAAGGAGATCTGATCGGTGGTTTACCAGGGAAAAGGGGGGGTGGAGGGAAGGGCACGGAGGGGGAAGTGGTGTACCCACAACATGACTAACAAAAATGTACAACTGAAATCTCACAAGCTTGTAATCTATCATAACATTAATAAAAAAAATAAAAAAAAAAAAAAAAAAGAAAGAAAAGGTGGTATATATCCAATGAAATCTTATTTGGCCTTAAAAAGGAATGAAATTCTGATCCATGCTACAACATGGATGAACCTGAAAACATTGTGCTAGGTGAAATAAGCCAGACACAGAAGGATGGATACTGTCTGATTCCACTTACATGAGGTACCCAGAACAGGCAAGTTCATAGAGACAGAAGGTAGAATAGAGATTACCAGGTGCTGGAGGAGAGGGAAATAGGGAGCCCTTGTTTAATGGATAAAGAGTTTCAATTTGAAATGCTGAAAAAGTTCTGGAAAGGGACAGTGACGCTGGTTGTGCAACATTGTGAGTATACTTTGTGCCACTGAATTTTATACTTAAAAAATAGTTAAAACAGTAAATTTTATGTTATGTATATTTTGCCACAATAAAAAAAGGAGATGATTAATATTATTAACCTTATTATTTTAACATGCATATTGTTACGTTATAAGTTTTTCTTTCATTTTTATGGTAGAAATAGTAGATAATTAAGATCAAAAGATAATTTCAAATATTCCTTACTGTCATTAAATTCAAGAAGGAGACACCAAAAATGAAAATCCTCACAAACTTTGAAAAATGAGGAATAAAATGTACTGTGTAATATGTATTCAGGTTTTTTTCTTTTTATACTCATGAACATATATATGCAGTAAAAAATGTTTAAATATATGTGTAGGTAATTGTGGAAAATTACATCTACTGTGAATAAAAGGAAAAATTTATGACAAGAAGAAACAACAAAAAGTAACTTTTGGTGGAGATTACAAATTATCTTAAGCAATTTAGAGAATTCAGTTTCTTGAGCTTTAACAGCATTTACAGGGAACATTAAGAAGAAGGATGTGGTTTGAGGGTGTCTATTGGTTTGTCAGAAAAACATGTAACACCAAAACACTGATGTTAAAAGACAGGTAGCAGCTATCATATAATTCTTCACATTGTTGCTTCATAGATGAGTTGAAATAGTCCAAAAGGAAGATAATTGCAAATTTCTGAGCATCTTCAACAAGTGTTGAAGGATTTATGTAAAGTGATAATAAAGAGTGTTATGTGAATGCATGGCTCAGTGGCAATAAACTTCATTTTGGCCATGAATTACCAAAAAGGGGAATTCTTTGTTCAACAAACCTCCTCTGAGTGCTCACATAGCATAGTCTCTGGGCTCTGACAAACACAGATTCTTCTCTAGGGGCTCCCATTTTAAGCCGTGTAACTTAGGAAAAGTTATGTCATTTTTTGGTGCCTCAATTTCCTTGTTAGCAAAATGAGAGTTAATAATAGTATTATTGAGATAATTAAATAAGATAATGCATGTAACTTTCTTAGAACTATCCCTAACACATGATCAGCCTTCCATAAATGCTATCTACTACTATTACAAGCAATGCACTGCATAGTGTGCTAAAAATCACATATGCGGCGTGAGTTGCAATTTGAGCCTATACTCCACTCACTCTAGGATTCAGGCAAATGTCGCCTGTCAGTTGGGCTAGTGACCAGGTGTTAGAGGAAGATAAGAATCTCCTGCAGACTCCTCTCCTCCCAGAGGAAGAGAGAGTTAAGAAGGACAGGTTTAGTTCAAGGAAAAGGGGCCAGAGAAAGAAAAGAGGGTAAAAATGCCTAGTACTCAGAAAGCTCTGCTGGCCACAATCTCTGACTGTAATGCAAGTAAATTAAAAGTTAATAAAAAGATAACTTAAATTTTATTTGGTAACTTAAAAATGCACCATTTAGTAACCCATGGGACCAAGCAGAAATCATGATAGAAATGAAGAAATCTTAAACTGAGCGATTGTGAAAATACCAAATATCAGAACTTCTGGAATGCATCTAAAACAGCATGTGGACAAAATTTCTTAGTTCTAAATGTTTATATTAGGAAATAAGGAAGGCTAGAAATTAATCGGCTTAAGGAGTTAAAAAAAGAACTGAATAAATAAACAAAAGTAGAAAAAGTAAATAAGAGCAAAAAATAACAAACTAGAAAGCAAGGACAAAATAAAAAGCATCTCCAGAGCCAAAAGCTGGTTATTTGAAAAGATGAAGAAAATAGACAAATCTCTGGTAGAATGAAATAAGAAAATAGGAAAGTCACACATAATTAATATTAGGATCAGAAAAAGGGGGAATGTAATAGCAGATTTGGCAAACATTTAAATAATGCTTAAATAGTAATTATACAAATAACTTTAAAATTTCAACCAAAAGTTGAAATTTGGGGGAAAAATATAACTTACCCAAACTTAAGAAGAAATAAAAAGCCTAAATACTTCTATCGTCAGTAAAATTTTTCAATCATGAATTTAAAATATTCCCATTAGGGGCCAGCCCCGTGGCTGAGTGGTTAATTTCACGTGCAGGTTTTTGCTGGTTCAGATCATGGGTGCGGACATTAGCTCAGGGTCAATCTCCCTCACCAAAATGAAAAAAAAAAAAAAAGAAAGGAAAGGATAAGCCATAAATTGAGAGAAGATATTTGCTAGACATACCCATAAAAGATTAGTGTTCAAAACATATTAAAAAATCTAGCAAATTCTTAAGAAAAAGACAGGTTTTTAAAATGAGCATAAGCTAAAAACTGACACTGAAATTGGTAAGTTCATGGAGCCGGTCCCATGGCTGAGTGGTTAGGTTCGCACACTCCACTGCAGCGGCCCAGGGTTTCACCAGTTCAGATCCTGGGTGTGGACATGGCGCCGCTCATCAGGCCATGCTGAGGCAGCATCCCACATGCCACAACTAGAAGGACCAGCAACTAAAATATACAGCTATGTACTGGGAGGCTTTGGGGAGAAAAAGGGGAAAAAAAAAAAAAAAGAAATTGGAGTTCAGGACATACTACTCCAAAATATGATAACTTGGCATATAGAATATTTTAAGGTGGAGGAGTTTGAGAAAGCAGCAGAATCAGGAATGTCACCCTGGCCTCCTCCCTCCCTTGCCCTTCTCCCCTGAAAGAGGTCATAAAACCCTCATGTGGGAGGGACCCTCCCTATACAGGAGGAAATGAGCGTCTTTATCTCTAAAGACAAAGGGATGCCAAGAAGAATCCTGAAAAACAGGCCTTGCTCAGCGTCCCCCAGTTTACTGCAATTACCTCGTACTCCTTACCTATCGTATTTCTCCTCGACTATCCACTCTTCACTCAAACCTAGCACAAAATACTCAGGTCTAACTGTTTCTTTGCGTCTTCATTTTCTTATGAAGCCTCCTGTGTCACATAAAACTTACACTAAATAAGCTTGTGTGTTTTTCTCCTTTTAATCTATTTTTGTCAGTTTAACTGTCAGATCCAGCCAGGGACCCTAGACGGTTCAAGGAAAACTTTTTCTTCTTCTACAATATTCAGCCAATTTATATATACTTGTTAACAAATATTCAACAAAATATATATTGAATACGTAGAATGTATTAGGCATTACTCATGGTGCTGGGAATACAAATTTCTCGTGCTCATGGAACTTACATTCTTGTAGATATGCAACTCACAAAAGTGGAGAACACAAATAGCCAATAAAGTACGAAAAGATCTCATTGATTATCAGGGAGATATAAATCAAAGCAGCAATCAGATTCAATTTTAAACTCATCATTGTAGAAAAAATTTTAATGTTGGACAATACCATATTTGGGGGGTATTTTGAAGAAACGGGGAACTCTTATATACTATGAGACAGAGGGGTGATGGGGATTGCAAATTGCTAAAGCAATATTGAAGGACATATTGATAACATACAGTAAATTTGAAGATGTGCTTACCTTATGTCTGCATTTTCATCTTTAGGTATATACTGTTCATCCGACAGAAAGAGCTGCAATGGAATGAGTAGAGTATGACACCACCATATGAAGTAAAAACCACACAAAACAATTTCCTATTTTGCTTAAGGATGCATTTGCATATTGTGAAATTCTACAAATATCTGATGGAATGATAGAACATCAACTTCAAGGTAGGTAATTCTCTGTTCCAGAGTTAAAGGTGGGGAGGCACAGAAACCAGGGCTTTAAATGCATAGGCAATCATTTATCTCTGTAGATAAATAGTGGGTATTCCTGTGCCGGCTGAGCTATTCTTTACATATGTTTGCACGTCTTAAATACTGAAAAAAAAAAAGAGATTGGGAATACCCCAACTCCTATCAAGATCAGCACTAGGTAATCTCAGAAAGGCATGATTGGAATGTCATTGTAACTAGAAAGCAGAGATCTGATGAATAGTATTTCGCTCTCTCTACGGAAGGAATGTTTTTAACAGTCTTGAGCTGATCTGTAGGGCATCTATAAAAGGGAAGCTGAAGAACAAGAAATTCTCATTAAATCTGGAAAGCATGCAGGGGAGAGATTCAATACCTGTTTGACTTGATGGAGAAGCAGATGATGTGCTTTCAGATTCACATCTGGCATGCTTGTTAATAGTGATATTTATCACTGTAAAGTAAGAAATATAAAAGCAGAAATCTCTGCATATAGATCATGTGCATCATAAGGGCTAGGATCATGTCTGTTTTTTCACCTTTGTATCCTCAGCACACAGCACCAAGATTGACATATGAGAACGCTAACTCTTTAATGAAAGAATAGAAAAATGAACCTCTTGAGTTTCTGGTTCCATCAACTTTGGATATATTTACCATTTTAGTTTCCAAACTAGGGACCAGACCTTGGAATGGATGAGCCTGCCAAGATAGCGTGAGGAGCCTGCGGACAGGCCAGCTTGCCCTTGGAGGGTGGCAGAATATGCCACCCTAATATATGCCTGTGGCATAAGTGTTATTTTGCGCTGAAGGTACTCGAAAAACAGCAAATGCAGGAAAAGGCTTTCTTTGAACTTGCCTTATCTGCCTAAAGACAGAGCTTCCAAAAAGAACTCCATCGTCATAGATCCCCTCCGCCTAGTTTCATCAACCGGAGAAGATTGACTATCGCAGGAGTGGAGACAGAAGTCAGTACCACATCCAGACAAACTTTGTTACAGACTATCATATTTCCCATCTTTTCTTCTAAGGGTCTGTTCATCTTCCCTAAAAATCATTTACTCTCCTCTAAGAGGCCCAATCCTCCCTCCCTTTCCCCTGTTAGTAATAGACCGTATATAAGCTCTCAAATCTCACTCTTTATTTCCTGTGATGTCCTGGTGCATGTAATAGTAAAAATGAATAAATCGGTATGCCTTTTCTCCTGTTAAGCTGCCTGTTGGTAGTTTATTTCATAGACCCAGCTATGGAACCTAGAAGGGTAGAGGGAAAGTCTTTCCCCTACACCATCTACAGGTTCAATGTCGTTCTTCTCCCTCCTTCTTTTCCTCTCTTCCTCTCCCCTCTTTTCTCCTTTCTTTTTCCCCCACCTCGTATCAGTGCATTCTTGAAACTACAACACTTTTGACTTGTGATTCTGAAAATGCAAGGAGGACAATTTTGAAAGAGGAAGCTGCTGCATCTATTTCCTGAACCTTTCATTGATCTAATTTTGCATATGAAACAGACTTCAGCATTCAGTAGTCAAACCATTTGACTACTTAATCATAAGACCTGCCTAAATGTCCCCAAAATAGTTTGGCTATTAGTGAACCAGCCCTTACAAAACTATCGACTCTGCACATGTGTTTCTGGTGGAATGCCTATGGAGGGCCACATGGCTAATGAAAAAAGCGTTAGAGACATTCTGGGTTAAGATGGTGGATAGAACACAGCAATCTAATTTTGTTCCCTCCTTAAAACTACAATAGTGGTATTTTCTAAAAACCATGAAAGCACAAAGATGAGGAGGACAACAGCAACAACAAACGTTGGGAAGCTGGAAAACAAACTGATTGCAAACTAACAGAAGAACCGAGAAAGCTGAATTCTATGGCAACAGTGGAGAAAATTGAAAACAGATCCGATTATATTACAGAATCACCCACAGATCTGAATCCTCTCCCCACCTTCTTCCTAACTCCGTGGTACTAGCTGCCTGTTTCTCCCTGACTCCAGTAGAAATTGGAATCTCTGGGGAGGATAAAAATGAACGTCTCTGAACTGGGGGAAAGCAGGCACAGTTGAGGACATTGGTACCATGCAAAAATGGAGGTTTACATACGCATCCTGCTCCACCTCCTGCTCTATTGTGCTCATCAGTTCAGTCCCCAAAGCATGGAAGCCCTGTCTTTACTCTCTAGGCAGGAGATTGGTACACTTTTCTCTGGGAGAGTCTGTGCTGCCCAAGACAGAAGTAGAGAAACTGACATCTGGGATTACCCAACAAATAAATGGCCATACAGTAAACTCAAAATATGCAAGAGCTCTCCATGTACTCAGAACTTCCAATGAGCTCTTTAGTCCTTCACTCTTTTTCTTTTTTTTTTGAGGGAGATTAGCCCTGAGCTAACATCTGCCACTAATTCTCTTCTTTTTGCTGAGGAAGGCTGGCCCTGAGCTAACATCCATGCCCATCTTCCTCTATTTTATATGTGGGGCACCTACCACAGCATGGCTTGCTGAGCAGTGCCATGTCTGCACCCGGGATCCAAACCAGTGAACCCCGGGCCCTCGAAGCAGAATGTGTGAACTTAACCTCTGAGCCACTGAGCCAGCCCCATAGTCCTTCACTCTTAATCATGAGCAGAAAGCCAAAGATTACCAGAACTCTAAGGAGAATCTTTATCATGAGAGATAAAGACCAAACAAGCAGAAAAAGCAGTTTGAAGAAAACGGAATATACAAATTAAAGAAAACTTTACATAATTTCTGCTCAGTCAAAGCTTCCTGGAAGAGACTACCAAAAACATCTGTTAGGATTAAGATAAACACCAAGCTTGGTTTATTAGAAATGTGCCTGGCAAGGGAGATGCTGGCCAAATGAAATCGGTCAAATGGACTCTCAAGAAGCTTTGGCACTTGAGCTTTATAAAGTTTTGTTGGGGAGGAGTTTGTCAAAGGATGGTTTCAGGGCGGAAGTTAGCAAGAGTGGGGGGAGGGTCAGGCAGGAAGCTAGGGCTAGGACAGGAAAGAATTGGTCAGAATATGCAAGTGAGCTGAGTCCTTGACTACTTGATAGGCTAGGTGAGGCTGTTTGTGAAAAGGTCTGTGGTTTTATCTTTCCCGAACACATGGGCCCAAGATGAGCTGTTGCTGAAATAGTTGATCTGTTTTGCAAACTGTGGTTTCTGTGCAGTTTTTCTTTTTTTTGAGTTGTTGTTTCTGTAGTTTTCCATTTCTCCATCCTGAGAGAGGTGAGAGAAGATATTGCATCCTTAAAACAAGAATAGGACATTATTTTTAAAAAGCAAAACTTTCATAAAACAAAAAGGAACTTTTGGAAGTTAAAAATATGATAAGAAATGAAAACTTAAGGAAGAATTGAAAGATAAAATGGAGGAAATCGTGCAGAAAGAACAACAAAAAGGCAAGGAAATATGAAATAGGAGAAAAAAGATAAGAAAATTAAACCAGTCTATGATGTTCCCCAGCCAAATAATGGGATTTCCTGGAGGGAAAAAACAGAGAGGAAGAAATCAACAATGAAATAATTCAAGGAAAATTCCCAGAACTGAAGGACACAAATTTCTGAATTGAAAGATCCCTCCTAACAGATTAAATTTGTTCTACCCCGAAGCATATGATTGTGAAATTTGAAACATTTAGGACAAAAGAGGAGATTCTTGGGCTTCCCAAGAAGGGGATGGGGAGGAATGGGGGACAAAAAGGAGAAATAGGAATTGGAATTGCGTTGGACTTCTCAACAGCAACGTGGTGGAAGGGAGGAAAAAGTTTTCCTCCACCCTCTTAGGGTCTCTGGCTGGGTCTGAAAATTAAACTGACAAACATAGATTAACAGGAGAAAAGTGAATAGAACTTTTACATGTCAGTGGGAGCCTTCATAACAGAATGAAGACCCAAAGAAGCCACCAGAGCAGGAAGCCTTTATGCCTTTTAGACAAAGAAACAAATTGGTAAAGAATTGACAAGACAAAGCAGTTTGGGCTATGGGTAGTAAAAGGTAAAGAAGTAGCAGGATTGTTTATACAGTTTTCGAGGCCCTGAATTCTCAGTCGCTGGTGATACGAATGTCTCTCCTCTTCCTGGTACAGAGAGGATCCCTTCGTGGGGGAGATTTATCTCCTGCTTTTGGGGAAGAAGGACAAGGCGGGGAATGTCGGACGGACCTTCCTGCTTCTGCTGTTTTCTCAAACTCCTTCAGCTTAAGATAGTCAATATGCCAAGGCACCCTATTTTGGGGTAGTGCATCCTGAACCCCATCATTGAGAAGCTAGAAGACAGTTCAGCAACGCTTTAAAAATTCTGAAGAAAATCTATTCCAACAGAGAACTCTGTTCAACCAAATTATCAGACAAGCGCTGGTGGATACAAAGACTTGCAAAGAGTAAAAAAATATTTTCCATTTACTCTTCCTAAAGAAACTGCTGGAGGATATGTGTCACCAAAATGAGAAAACTAAGAAAGAAGAAGGTAACAAATCTAAGAAACGAGAGAGAGGCAAAGGGAATGCCCGAGATGAAAGTGAAAGAAAATCACAGGAGAAAACCAGGTGTCAAGTGTAAAAGGCAACTGGTCCAGATTGGGAGCGATGTAACTCTAGAAACAGACATGTGAGAACGTCATCTCCAGGATACCCACTGCCATGTTTAATCTGAAGTCAGAATCTTCTCTGCGCTTGACTTATTTGTGTCACTTGCCCCTTCTCCCTCGCTGCCTGGATCATCTGAGAACCTTCATTTCCCCTCACAGAGGTGTTCTGATTTGATCTACTGCTGAGTCCTAGCTGTAGGCCACTGTTAACTAGAAATAGAAAATACAGAACATTCCACACTCTCTGACCGTATTCCTGCTGGATGTCCATTCCTGGACCTACACTACAAGCCTGTGCATGTTCTTCAAGACTCATGACCCTGTCTTCAAACTGCCTTAGATGAAAGTTCTTATAAACTCTTAGAAGACA